GGCAGAAGTTTCTGGGAGTATTTCAGGACACACAGTAAAAATTCATCCGTAGGAGAAAGAAGCATACTAAATGGAGGATGAAGCAATTATGACTGACAGGGAAGTCAGGGACAGTATAAAAGCAAAAGAGAAAGCATATAATGTGGCGAAGGGCAGTGGGAAGGCAGGGGATTGGGAAGCCTACAAAGACCAACAGAAGACAATAAAAAAGAAACAAGGAGGGAGAACATTAAATTTGAGGGTAAGCTAGTTAGTAATATAAAAGAAGATTGCAAGAGTTTTTTAGATATATAAAGGGCAAAAGACAGGCAAAAGTGGACATTGGGCCACTGGAAATGACGCTGGAGAAGTAGTAATGGGGAACAAAGAAATGGTGGAGGAACTGAACAAGTACTTTGTGTCAGTCTTCACGGTGGAAGACATGAGTCACATCCCAAAAACTTGAAGAGAGTTGGGGGGCAGAGGTGAGTATGGGGGCCATCAGCAAGGAGAAGATGGTAGAAAAACTGAAAGAGCTGAAAGCAGATAAACCACCTGGACCAAATGGGCTACACCCCAGAGTTGTGAAGAAGATTGCTGAAGAAATAGTGGAGGCATTAGTGGTGATCTTTCAGGAACCACTAGAGTCAGGGAGAATCCCAGAGGACTGAAAAATCACTATTGCAACCCCCTGGCCCCCAATTTAAAAAGGAATGAGAAAGAAGATGGGAAATTACAGGTCAAATAACCATGACCTCAGTTATTGGTAGGACTATGGAGTCCATTGTGAAGGATGAGATTACTAAATACTTGGAATACCATTGTATGGTAAAATAGGGCAAAGTCAGCATTCTTCCATCAAGGGGAGGTTATGCCTGACAAATCTGTTGTAGTTCTTTCAGGAGATAATAAGCAGGCTAGACCAAGGAGAGCCAATGGATGTTATCGACTTGGACTTCGAGGAGGCCTTTGACAAGATGCTGCACGGCAGGTTGCTTAAGATAAGGGCCCATGGTGTTGGAGGCAAGGTGCTAGCATGGATTGAAGACTGGCTGACTGGCAGAAGGCAGAGAGAGTGGGTCCTTCTCAGGATGAAAGCCGGTAACTAACGGTGTTCTGCAAGGGTCTGTGTCAGGATCACGGCTTTTCACTTTATACATTAATGATCTAGGTGAAAGAATGTGGGCATTCTGGCTAAGTTTGCAGATGATGCAAAGATAGGTGGAGGGACAGGTAGTATTGAGGAGGTGGGGAGGCTGCAGAAGGATTTAGACAGGTTAAGGGAGTGGGCAAAAATGTGGCTGATGGAATAAAACGTGCGAAAATGAAAGGTCATGCACTTTGGCTGGAAGAATAAAGGCACAGACTATTTTCCAAATGGGGAGAAAATTCAGAAATCTGAAGTGCAAAGGACTTGGGAGTCCTAGTCCAGGATTCTCTTAAGGTAAACTTGCAGGTTGAGTTGATAGTTAGGAAGGCAAATACAATGTTGGCATTTATTTCGAGCGGAGTAGAATATAAAAGCAGGATGTACTTCTGAGGCTTTATAAGTCAGACCACATTTAGATATTGTGAGCAATTTTGGGCCCCATACCTGAGGAAAGATGTACTGTCCCTGGAGCAGGTTCAGTGGAGGTTCAAGAGAATGATCCCAGGAATGAAAGGCTTAACACAGGAAGAATGTTTGAGGACTCTGGGTCTATGTTCGAAGGAATTTAGAAGGAAGGGGATGGATCTAATTGAAATTTACAGAATACTGAACAGCCTAAACAGAGTGGACGTTGGAAAGATGTTTCCATTAGCAGGAGACACGAGGACCCGAGGGCACAGCTTTAGAGGAAAGGGAAGACCCTTTAGAACAGAGATGAGGAGAAACTTCTTCAGCCAGAGAGTGGTGAATGCAAGGAATTCACGGCGACAGAAAGCTGTGGAGGCCAGGTATATTTGAGACAGAGATAGATAGGTTCTTGATTGTCAAGGGAAATCAAAGGTTATGGGGAGAAAGTGGGAAAATGGGGTTGAGAAACTTATCAGCCATGATTGAACGGCAGAGCGGACTCGATGGGTTGAATGGCTTAATTTCTATTCCTATGTCTTATGGTCTTTTGATCTTATGTAGTTCATAATTCCATGGACTATATAGCACAGAAAAAGGCCATTCGACCCAAGGTTTATGCCAACATTTATGCTCGAGTCTCTGCTTCTGAGATTGTTTGTCTGCATTTAGGGTTTCCATCTCCCCTGCAATGCTAGTGTTCTAATATGTGATTACTCTCCAACCTATCTATCAAATGCCAGCAGTCTTAGTGTCAATTTGCAGAATTAGCAGCTTCTGAAAGTTGAAGTGCTAGTGTCACTTTGGGTGTGACTGAACTAGAATTAGTTAGGTTTATTCTCACATGTATTCAAGCGCAGAAGTACAGGAGTACAGTGAAAAATGTACAATGTCACCCCACATGGGTGACACATCTTAGGTACAAACTACATAAGTACAAATCTTAGATATGAAATAGAGAAATTAAAAAAAAAATTACCTTTCAGTTACTCATACTATAAGTTAAAAAAAAACTAATGTTAAAAGGATAAGTGAAAAAGGTGTTTGGTATGCTTGCTTTCATTGGTCAGTGCATTGAGTATAGAAGTTGGGAGGTCATGTTGCGGCTGTACAGGACATTGGTTAGGCCACTTTTGGAATACTACATTCAGTTCTGGTCTCCCTATGATAGGAAGGATGTTGTGAAACTTGGAAGGTTTCAGAAAAGATTTACAATGATGTTGCCAGAGTTAGAGGGTTTGAGCTACAGAAAGAGGCTAGGGCTACTTTCCCCGGAGCAAGGGAGGCTGAGGGGGTGACCTTTTAGAGGTTTATAAAATCCTGAGGGACATGGATAGGGGAAATAGACAAGGTATTTCTCCTGGGGTGGGGGAGACCAAAATTAGACGGCATAGTTTTAAGGTGATGGGAAAGATTTAAAAGGGACCTAAGGGGCAACTTTTTCACACAGAGAGTGGTGCATATATGGAAGTGGTGGAGGCTGGTATGATTACAATATTTAAAAGGCATCTGGATGGGTATATGAATAGGAAGGGTTTAGAGGGATACGAACCAAATGCTGGCAAATGGGATTAGATTAAGTTAGGATATCTGGTCAGCATGGACGAGTTGGACCAAAGAGTCTGTTTCTGTGCTGCATATCTCTATGACTTTATGACAAACATTACAGTCTTCCTATAAAGGGCCTGCAGTGCATCAATTCTTCCATACATGGTCTGACCGGGCTTGCAAGCCACTGACCACCTTCACCAGTTCACAGTCCAGCAACTGTCCCTGTTCGGCTCTGGGCACGCCAACCATCCCCAAACTGCTTGGACCTCCAGCCCACTGGCCGTCTGCTGATGTCAATTAAAATAGCAAATGAATAGAAAATAAACTAATTACAAGCCAGGGCATTTCATGCTTATCCCTAGACGCCCCAGCTCACCACTACTTTGTCCCAGCCAGTGACATCCAATGAATAAATACAACAAACCAAGTTTTGGAAGACCAACTTTGACACTGGCATGGAGCAATGGGGCTATTTAGGTTAATTGTGGATCAGTTGAGTTTAATACACACACGTGGAAGGAGTTATTTAAACTTTTACTCAAGCAGATAAAAAGAGATATTTCATGAAACTATTGCTGATTGAGTTAGGAAGTACATGCTTGTAATGTTTCACTCTGTAAATAAATATGAAACTGAGTAAAAAAATGGCTCCAGTTTCATCCTTCTCCAATGGGTTTTATAACAGGCTATCTCACTCAACCTAGCAATGTCAAATGAGCTGATGTAAAACATCTAAAGCAGCATAATCAGACAAAATTTGGCACTGAGACACGGAAAGACAGATTATGACATGTCACTAGATCAAACAAGTAGCATTTCAGAAATGTCAGAAAGAAAAAGGGAGCGAGATGAAGAAGTTCAGAGAGGGAATTCCACAGGCTCGGTTTCAAAAGGCAGAGCTGCCAATGGTAGGATATGCAGAGTGGACAATGGACAAAAGGCCAATAATAGAGGAGCACAGATAAATTCTTTGCAAAACCATCCTCATCATTGGGATCTGATCTATTGAGACTGGTCAACCTTTTGTATTGTGACATCTATTATCTCCAATCCTGCTGCAGATGGGAGTAAAGTCACTGGTCTGTAGTAACCCTGAAGTCCAGTCTAATACTCCAGCCATATTGGTTCAAATCCCATATTGGCAGTTGCTGAAATTTAAATCCAATTTATAGGCCTGACATATAAAGCTAGTCTCCATAATATTGACCGTAGAACCATTGTCATTAAAAATTATCTGTTTACTAATGCACTTTGGGAAGGAAGTCCGCCATCTTTAACTTGTCTGGCTGTAATTTCAGACCCATAATATTGTGGTTGTCTTTTACCAGCCCTGAAATGACTGAGCAAGCCATTGAGTTCAGGGACAGTTAGGGATTGACAACAAATGCTGACCTTAAGCCATTAACATTCACGTCCCACAAAAGAACGATCTTTTGTTTACAAAAGAAATCCTGATCTGTTTCCTTTAAACTTGACTCCTTCAAAGCTTTCCATAAATTTCAGCTCATCGAAATCTCTGCTGCTAGAATTCTAACTTGCCTCCACATTCCACTCACCTTTCAGCACTGTGGTCGCGAACATTCATTGGCTCCTCAATTTTTAAATTCTCATCCTGATTTTCCAATCCACCCGTAGCCACACCCCTCTTTATCTCTGTAACCACCCCAGCCGTACAACCCAGGAATTCACGGCACTTACAGGAAACAAATGAGGCCATGCAAGGATTGGAAAATGAGGTTGAGAGTTTTGTGATTGAGACGTTGCTGGACTGAAAGCCACTCTAATTCCACCTGACTTTAATTGTATCACAATTGACAGCCATGCCTGTTCCGGCCAAAATGTACAAATTCACGCATACTTAAGGTAGACTTCATATGGCCAATTTTGCCCTTCACAACTTGTTGATATCCCTTTACCGACTCTCTACCTCCTCTTGACAACTTATGTTTCCACACCTCGAGTTGACAGCAGCAAATTTAGCTGCCATGTATTTGGTTGCCTCATTGTTGCTGTAATATTGGAACTAACTCCTCAAGGTGAGCAACTTATGAAAATATAGAGTGGGTCTCTAATGCCTGGTTTTGTGGAACTTTGATTGTGATAATTTAGCACTCAGAACAAACACTGAAGAAAATCCTTCAGCATCTGTAAGAGACAACCCAGTTGCCAGTCAAGATATTACGTCCGTTCTCAGAATATGAACTATACAGGCAAGGCTTGTATTTATTGCCCATCCCTAGTTAAGCTAAAAATGTGATGGTCAGACCTCTCTTTGAATCACTGCCATCCAGATGGTGATCTCAATGGTGTTCAATTTGGAATTCTGCTACAATGAAGGAACAACGATAAGTTAACTTTTCAGGATAATATTGAATATTGCACAACGACTGACTGAACTCCGACATTCTCATCTCCATAATCAAAACTGAACTGTTTGTGCCTTTTAGTCATAGCAAGTCACATGTAGATAGGGTGTTTAAGAAGGCACCTAGCACGCTTACCTTCATCGCTCAGACCTTTGACTATAGGAGTTGGGCCATCATGTTGAGGTTCTGCACAATGTTGATGAGGCCTCTTCTGGAGTACTGTGTACAGCTCTAGTCGTCCTGCTATAGGAAGGATAGTATTAAATTGGAGAGGGTTCAGAAAAGACTTACCAGGATGTTGCCGGGAATTGAGAGTTTGTTATAAAAAATAGCCTGGATTGACTGGTATGTTTTTCACTGGAGTGTAGGAGGTTGAGAGGTGATCTTATAGAGGTTTGTAAAATCATGAGATGAATAGCAAGGGTCTTTTCCCTAGGGTGGGGGAGTTCAAAACTAGGGGGCATATTTTTAAGATGAGAGGAGAACGTTTTAAAAGGACATGAAGGGCAATGTTTTTATACAGAGAATGGTTTGTGTGTGGAATAAACTGCCAGAGAAAGTAATGAACGCAGGCACAGTTAGAACATTTAAAAACATTTGGAGAAGTACATGACTAGGAAAGGTTTGGAGGGAAATCGGACAAATACACCACAAGTGGGACTTGTTTAGTTTGGGAACACGGTCGGCGTGGACTAGTTGGACTGAAGGGTCTGTTTCCATGCTGTATGATGCTATGACTAAGTCCCATTCACCTGTGATGCAATGTATTCACTGACATCGGCTTTGGTGAAGCAATTTCTTAATTGTAGGTTTCTGACTCTTTCTTTCAATACCCTTTATGGCCTTGCATGCGTGCACACAGACAATCGGCCCTGTTCTTATAATAGCATCTCTCCATGCTTTTAACTGACCCGAAGGATCCCTGGCTTTTATTTTCTCCAACCATTGATTCATATTCCTTAAGTTGTCAAGGTTCCAATGTCTTGAATTCCTTATCTTTCCATCTCTCTATTCATAGATACACCGCATTGTAGAATAAGGTTATTTAGCCCGCTAAGTCTGTTCAAAGAGCATCCCACCCAAACGCAGTCCCCCACTCTGTTCCCATAATCCTGCATTTTATCAATTCACCTAACCTGCACATCTTTGGACTCTCGGAGGAAACTGAAGTACCTGGCAAAAACCCACAGAGAACCTGCAATCTCGACACATTCAGTCACCCAAGGCAGGGAATCAAGCCCAGGTCCCTGGCGCTGTGAGGCAACAGCACTAACTGCTGACCTACCCTGTTGCCCAGATGATTTACTCCCCATCAAGGAATTGAACCCCAGTCTCTCATGTGAAAGGCAAGGATGCTAATCACTGCACTATACAGGAAGTAATACTTTGTTTTTCTATACTTTCTCTACTTTGTTTTTCTCCCCTTCTAGGTAACAATTCTTTAAGTGTCTGTGTGCTTTAAAATGCTCTTGTGAAGTGTGTCAGGGCATTTTATTGTGTAGAAAAAAAATTTTCTTTGTGAGGTAAAGGCGGATTAAGGGTGATATGTTGCCACAATATTGCTCTGCTCTTCACACTTGGTGATTGATGTTGATGTAGCGATAGTTATGTGGATGAGCTTCCGAGGTAAGTTGCGATGTCAGATGCGACGTCTGTAGTCATATATTTGCATTCTGATAAGATGCTGTACACTGTACTGCACGGAGAATGGTGCTCTGTAACCTTACCATCTCATACAGTGTGACAATAACTAAAGTTTATCTATTACTAAGAGTTCAGGCCTGAGCTTCAGTTAAGACCTGAAGAACCACATTACAACATGCTCAAACCACTGCAGAGAAGAGCTATGTCACTAAAGTAGCCAGGGTTGGAGGGTTTGAGCTATAGAGAGAGGCTAAGTTGGAGCTATTTTCCCTGGAGCATAAGAGGCTGAGGGGCGACCTAATAAAAGTTTATAAAATCAAGAGGGGCATGGATAGGGTAAATAGACAAGGTATTTTCCCCAGGGTTGGGGGAGTCCAAAACTAGAAGGCATTTAAGTGAGATGCGAAAGATTTAAAGGGGACCTAAGGGGCAACTTTTTCAGACAGAGCGTGTACGGGACGAGCTTCCAAAGGGAATGGTGGAGGTGGGTACAATTACAACGTTTAAAAGGCATCTGGATGCGTATATGAATAGGAAGAGTTTACAGGGCCAAACGCTGGCAAGTGGGATTAGATTAATTTAGGATGTCTGGCCGGCACGGATGAGTTGGATCAAAGGATTTGTTTCCGCGCTGTGCATCTGTATGACTCTATGATCAGAGGAGAATTGAGGAATAATTGTTTTATCCAGATGGTGCTGAGGGTCTAGAATGCACTTCCTGAAGCCTCCATTGCATTAAAAAAAAAGTTCACCTCAGCTGCTGTAACGTGGAAGGCTATGACCAAGCGCTGACGGTGGGATTAAACAGTTGGTCCAGGGATGATGAGCCAAATGGCGTCCTTCTATGCCTCGAATCTTTCTATGTTTTCTATTAACGTAGGAAAATACAGTGTCCAACTTGTGTACACAAACCAGCTTAAAGCATTAATGGGTTTTAAGGTATGTTTAAGTGCTGGTTGAGGGATAAATATTAACCAGGATGCCAGTGAAAATAACCCTGCTCCTCCTTGAAATAGTGCAAGCAAGTCTTTTTACATCCACCAGAAAGAACAGGCGAGGCTCTCGGTTTTATCGTACATGTGAAAGGCAGTGCTTTTGATAGTGACACACTCCCTTTGTATTGCAGTAAGAGTGCCAGCCTGCTCAACATAGATCTTGAACTTGTGGCCTTCTACTTGAAGACAAGACGTCCACCACTGAGCCACAGCTGTCATGAAGCTCAAACATTCATCATTTCAGATAATTTGTTCATCTATCCGCGTCCAGTGCAGTCCTTTAATGTCCTTATTTTGGTGAACCAGTGGTTGTTCTGAAGGCTCCCCCTATCTGAAGTAGTTAACGGGTGGGAACTTGACGCTGGGCTGATCTTGAGCCAAGAGCATTTCAGCTGCCTGGATTTAAAGTGGCCACTATGGGGCATCTGACAACTGTTCTTTCCAAACCAGCTCTGAAGCTTCATGTCAGAGCAACCAGGTCTTGTTAATTTAACTTGCAAGGCTGTTCACCCAGTTCTTGGCATTCATACAGTAATCCTCTCTGAAACTCACAGGCCTCCATGGCTGAGTGAGGAATTGTCGGGTCAGCCACTCTCAAAGATATGAACACAGTCCAGTTTACACCGTTGAAAAGGAGCACTGCTACCTACACCTTTCAGGCAAGGTGTTATCCTAAGACCCCATCGTGCCTTTTCATATTGATATTGAAATGTGCTGAGCACGATTTGAAGAAAAATGGGGAGTTTGCCACAGCGTATTGGCATTAATCTCTTAAATAACAACACTGCAACTAATTATAACATTGCAGTCTGTGAGCGCTAGCTGTCTGAAACTGACCACTGCATTTCCACCATTATAACCACGAGAATATTTCAAAAGTACTTCAATGTCTGTAAAGCACTTTGAGACATCCAGAGATTGTGCATATCCGTATAATCGCTAGCTTCGTTTTAAAACAGCGAGAATAGGGAAGGATAGTGACAACCCGAAATGTACGTTATTGGTAAAGGACGGGAGTAGGAGGTGGCAACAGACTCCAACGTCATTGGATAGAGAGTCAGATCCAGTCTTGTATCAGTACAAAACATGAATCACCTCCTGAAATACAGTCTCCCAACCTCTTGTTCTAATTTGCCTTGTTTTAAGAAGTGCTTTCATCGCTGCATCCTCTCCGCTGTTGCAGTCCCAGCAATGGACACAGCACTCCTGGGGGCAGTGCTGAGACAGTAGAGCTGCTGGGTCCCCCGGCTCAGCCTGCAGTTCCTGGAGAAGGCTTTTGTCTTCTCACCTACCAGCTCAGTCGCTGTTGTATTGACGTAGAATCCAGGTAGCACATCACCAAACTGTCGGGGTAAGGTTGTCCCCAGTTTCCTGACCTGTTATTGGGGGCCATCAACAAAATCTAGCCCCAAGTAGAAACCTGATGAAAGGTGTTGAAAGGGGTACACCTTATTGAACAAGATATGATTAGATTTTTAATTATGTATTAACATCATTAATTACCGAATAGCCTCACTGACCCTGAAGAATTAATTTCCTGTGTATGTGATTTCACATTTCATAATTGTCCTGAAAAAAAAATGCATTTTAAAACTTTTTTTTTCAGAAATGAATTTTCAGCTTCTGACTTCACCACAGATGTATGTTCACATTATTTTTTGCACCCACTGTAAAATCCGAATTGCAAGTAAAAAATTGGTTAATTTCATTGCCTGACTCAGTGTGAATATACATTCATGAGATTGGCTGCTTACCTTTTCTGATGGCACCACTTTTGCTGGACCCAGAAGTCCCTTGAAATGTTGTGAGATCCGTACTGATGTCAAGAAAGAGGAAAGGATGGTGGTGAAATAGTAATATTACTAGATTAGTAATCCACAGGCTCAGTCTAACACTCTGGAGATGTGGATTGAATTCCCACCACAGAAACCGGTGACATTTAAACTTAATTAATAAATCTGGAATTAACTGCCCGCTCAATGGCGACCATGAAACCAGCATCAGTTGCCGTCAAAATCCATTTAATTCACC